GTTTGTACAAAAAAACTTATAGAAGATCTGTACATTTAGTATTTTCCTCCAAAAAACAGTGAAATAATTGATAAATACTGGGTTTCAATTAATCAGGATACAAACCGGAATGTGAAACAAACCAGTAAAAAGCAATACAAGCAGCTACTAAAGATAGCTAGCAGAAGTTAGAAGCCAAAACAGCCAAATAGAAAAATGAGAATATCCTACCATACACATCATACCTTGACTAGTAAAGCAGGCGCTTTCTGTATATATTGACAAAGTTACATTGCACATGTCATCAACATTATTCCTTCCGTGACTAGACCTGAAACTCCCCAGCTCAGAATCGTGAAAGAACTTCTGCCAGGAAGATTACATTCTCCAATCACGGGAGAAATAAATCAAATTTACAAGTCAAGGTCATTCAGTGACTCAATTACAGAAACACCAGCAGATCTTCTTTGAACCGCCTCCAACTAAATGAAGAACATAAAATGACAAGGTCAGCTGGTTGGTTTCTTTCTAAAAGCTGGGTGTATTGTTCCAGAGGAAGAATCTAGTTTGTCTATTCTAGCTATACAATCCTTCATCCTCTTCACAATAATAGGAATAGCAGAGATATTACTAGAAAGTTTGTCTTCAAACAGACGCATTTTCTCTGCATCTTTTAGCTCAATGTGCATTTGTTGTGATCCTTTAATAGATTGGAAGTGTCCTGGATCGATATGGTAAAACAGAAAATAAATTAATAACAATGGGATTATGGGAAATTACAACCTTATAACAATAAAGAGATCAGTGGAGATACAGCACGAACACCATGAACAATATCATGAAAGGAAAGAAAAAAAATGTCTTCTAAAAAAAAGAAAAACTACATCAGTAACCAGGTATAGAAAACCAAGTTTGGATGGGTGGAAATTACAACCAAAGAATTTGATTCAATAAAGATATATTTTTGCAAGTCCGAAAACTTCAGGACGAGAGTCGAACCAATTGCTACTCATCAATATTCTCAACATCTCAAATTGATAACAGGCATGAACCTAAAGTTTCTCACTATACTACTTTGGCTTTAGGGCGTGTGGCATTTATGAGCTCATATCTGGATATAAAATTACAATTTCCAGACTTCTATGAGGTTATAACACTTCGGAATGCTCATGCACCTTTTTATGGATGACACAATAATCAGGCATTTATATAATCAAAAAGACATTTATAACAGAAAAAAAAAAGTGTAATTCGATTCTGTTAGACAAAAATTCCTTTAACGATTCACTTCAAAGATAACATGTTTCGATTCTGGTGCCTAGATTCTCATTGAAAGATGCCAAGGATTTCCACAGTAAAAAGCTGCCTCTAGAACAACAATAATCAGTTTCCCTAACCAACCAGGGCAACTAAGCCCAACTAAATTGTTTCAGTAGTGGTTCAGAACCAGAGTACGTTTAGCATTCTATCAGCATGGAACTACAGCCAAAATGCATTTGACATACACGACGTAAATCTCCCTAAAATTTCACATTTCTTCTTTGTTCTTCTCAGTTTTCTCGGTAACCAAACATTAAGAATCTGATAATCGCGTTTCGCAATAAACACAAAAAAGAAAAGGAGAAAAGCCCAAGAAAGCGTCACCAACCTGGATTTTCTTCCCCTGATGGTCCAGACTCCGAACCAGTTGCAGTGCGGGGCAAGACGGCTCTATGCTCAGAGAGAATCGAGGTCAATGTGTTCTTCAGCTGATCTGGGAGAGTTGCTCTATATTCAGCAACCTTTTCTGCCAGTTGCTTCACATCCGATTCGAGCTTCTCCAAATCTTCTTCCTCGGGGTTGGACCCTAGCTCAGGGTTCCGAAAGTTGAATCGGGTTTTCTCTTCCAGGTCTTGGGGTTTGTTGTTCAACGCCATGGATTTGGCTTTCTACACTGTATAGCTGAAATTTTCTATTTTTTTTTTCCTTGCTTTTCCGTTTATTGAAATCAGGGGTTTTAAATTTGAAAAATTCATGAGATTTTTGGTTGGAAATATACCATTACAAAAACGAAACAAAATTAAATATTTGCCCTAAGCGGGGCAGTTTGGGGGCAGAGTGCGCATCGCGCACCCATTGTACTCTCTCTCTCTCTCACTATTTTTTTTTTTTAGTTTTAATAAATTAAATAATATTTTATTTAAAACTATATTATATAATTATATATCGCAAAATTTAATAATAATATGACGTTATAATACAGATCTAGTTAGATTAATATTGCTAATAATTTTTAACGGTATTTTAAAAATATAAAAATCCATTGGAAATAAAAAAAAAAAAAAAAAAAAAAAAAAAGTATAAGATCTTATTTGAATATTTTGAAATAATGTATTTAATCTTTTAAAACGGCTTCCGTGGTACCAAGTTCTCCATTTTAATTTCCCTCCAAAAATTGATGCTTAACATCCTCTCGTCTTTAATCAGATAATCGATTTTCTTTTCTTTCTCGCTTTCTTGGCAGCCAAACAGCAAGCTGTCGCTAACCATAACTATGATTCTAGTTCAGAAACCCTCCATATCGTGCTCAAGTTCAGGCGAAGTATACAAGGCAGAGGTATTTCGATGTCCCAATCAGCAGAAAAGACAACCAATGTCCTTGGTGCCTCCGAGTCCGACGAAGACCTATTCGGATTTTCCTACAATATTAACAGTTGCTACTTCGATTTTTAGGTTTTCAATTTCGTTATATTCAAAGGTGCCGTGTTTGCTTCTCTGGTCTGGTATTTTCTCACTCGTTGATGATGGAAGTTTGCAGAACCCCATCTCCTCCTTCGAAGGTACTTAATTATCTTTCCCTCTTTCCTTCCTTCTCACTTTCTCTCATGAACATCGCATTCCCGCTGATTTTGACTTAATTTGTATTCTTTTCAATGCGACGAGAAGTAAAATCATGATTGGATTCTTCTTTTTTTTGGGTCAAAAGGAAGGAAACACATAAATTTTCATGTTTTTGATATTGCAAGTGCAGAAATTGTGATTCTGATAACTATAGCGTATTGCACAGAGGATGCTGCCGAGAAGTATTGATTCAGAAGGTCCGTATCACCTTCTCTATTGTTCAGGTAAGGGTGATAAAACCAGGGTAATACGGGAGTTGGAGAAAGGAGTAGACATCAACCTTGCTGATTATGATAAGAGAACGGCTCTTCATTTGGCAGCCTGTGAGGGTTGCATTGAAATTGTTGTCCTGCTTTTAGAGAAAGGAGCTGATGTGAACTCCACCGATCGTTGGGGTCGTACTGTAAGTTACACATGTAAAAGTAGATACTTGGCCCGTCCTTATCATTTGAGGTGTGTTGTGTTCTCGGTTTATTTTGAGATTGATAATTAACTTCCGGCATCTTTCATTTGACTAAAATCTGCAGCCACTATCTGATGCCAGAAGCTTCGGCCACGAGGAGATCTGCAAGATTCTGGAAGCTAGAGGTGGAACGGATCCGGTAATCTACTTTATTAAAACACATGTTATGGGTTTGTATCTGCATATATATATATATATACACACACACACATTCTTCTGGCTATTGTTCTTAGTACTGGAGGAGCATAACCATAATTTATGAAAAATTATTAGCTGCCCCGGAGCACATATAAGTCAGTAAACTCCAATTTGATTCGTCACTTAAATTTTGTTTTTATGTTTTTCTTTTTTGACGAAAAATTAAAATACATCAATTGTTTATAGAGCCTGCTAAACTCATTGTTTGTCTCCTGAAATATCTTATGATTACAAGTATCCAGCCAAAACTACATTTTTGTACTATAGTTACGTAATAGAACCTAAACTTATTTACTACCATTTAGTGCTTCACAAAATCTATCGATTTTTATCATCAAACTGTTATGAGTTCTTCACTGTGCACATAAATAGCTCAATCACTTGATATTGTTCTTGTTCTTATGTGCATGGCATAAAAATTTTCCTGGACCAACATTAGAGGCTTCACCTTGTATTTGATATCAAGTGCTCTTATTACAATATGAAATAGGGGCTCTTAGAAAATTGTATCTGGTTACATAGCCATGCATCTTATACATCAATTGATGGTTATATCATTCTCCTTGGGATAGGTGGGACTTTGATTCCCAGATTCCTTGTTACGAAATTGATTCCAGTGAGATGACTTGGGAGGAAGCAACACTTATCGGAGAAGTAAGTTCCTTTGCATATTTCAGGAAATATCCGATCGAGGACAACTTGCCTTCTAGAGTATTGATGATTTTATTTTGGACCTAAGCTCCCAAAACTCTG